ACATCAAACAAACAAACATCAAACAAACAAACATCAAACAAACAAACAAACATCAAACAAACAAACATCAAACAAACAAACATCAAACAAACAAACATCAATCAAACAAGCATCAAACAAACAAACATCAAACAAACAAACAAACAAGCATCAAACAAACAAACTAACATCAAACAAACAAACAAACAAACATCAAACAAACATCAAACAAACAAACAAACAAACATTAATCAAACAAACATTAATCAAACAAACATCAAACAAACAAACATCAAACAAACAAACTAACAACAAACAAACAAACAAACATCAAACAAACATCAAACAAACAAACAAACAAACATTAATCAAACAAACATTAATCAAACAAACATCAAACAAACAAACATCAAACAAACAAACATCAATCAAACAAACAAACACACAAACAAGAAAAAAACAAACCAACAAACACCAGTCAGTTTGTTTGTAACGCTGTGTTTGTTTCTGCAGGTCACTGAATGAAGTCGTCGCTGAACTCCATCAGTTTGTGATGTTTGCTGTGAGTTCAGGAAACAGAACCTGCAGTTTAACCAGCTCTCATGTTTGGTTTGTTTATTTATTTATTTAGATTCATATATTCACTTCCTGTCGTCACTTAGATTTAATTGTTTTTACTTCCTGTTTTATTTTGAAGAGATTTTTGGTTGGTTTGACCTTTGACCTTATTTCTCAGTATTTAAACTTGTTGAGTTACTTTGTTGACAGAATTTTAAAATTTTATTTTGCATTTTGGTTTTAGTTTGGAAGTCTTGATTGTTCTTGATTCTGTTTGTTACTAATAAAGGATTTAGTTGTTGTGAACCCTCTTACTTCCTGCTGTTTGGGTTTTTTTATCCAGGAAAACCAAATCTCAGAAACAAATAGAAACAATAGATACACACTCATGGACAGAACTGTTGGTAGCCCTCATTTAATGAGAAAAACAACCCACAGAAACAAACTGATCCAGGTGTCTCAGGTTTGATGTTTCAGCTCCTTCAGGATTCAGGTCAGGATCATAGAGACCACCTCAGAACAGTCCAGTGTTTCCTGTTTTTATCTGTTTTGACTCATTATCCTGTTGAAGACCCATGAGCTGCTGCTTTCTGACACTGGGCAGCACATTTCTCTACAATCCTTGATAGTCTTGAGGGGTTTTCTTTCATTAAATGAAGAGTACCAACAATTATTTATATTATATATAATTTACAGGTCTTTGTACTCCATCAAAAATAAAATCCCTAGACTCTAACCCACTTCATATTTTACATGTAAACTTTTTAAAGAGTAGGTTAAATATTTCAGGCAGACAGGTAAATGTGACTTCTGTCCAGGTTTTATAGTCTTTAAACTAGACCAGTTCTATTTGGTCCAGATGCAAAAACACACCACACTGTATGAAAAGCTTTTAGAGCTTTAGGAGCTCAAAATATCAAAACTGTGAAATGGCCCTTTAACCTCTGATGTAACTAATATAACATTAATACTCAGTTTGTGGAAACAAACCTATTCTAAGTTTAACATTTTAAACATCCATGGACCAAGAATATAAAAATAAAAGCCCAGACATGAGCAGAAATTGATGGTAGCATGTTGCTAAAGAGTTAGCTTGTGCACAACTACTGTACATTTTAAAATATTTTCTTTTTAACTCTGTTACACTTAAATATGAAAACTTATATTTAATGTCTTTCAACACATTAAATCAAGTTCAGAGCAACAAACTGCAGGAAAATGAAGGAAATCCATGAAACTGAAGAAACTTCAGCTTCATCTGCTGTTTTAACTGCTGCACCTCTGACGTCATCCTGCTGCCACCTGCTGGCAGATCCATGTACTACACCTCATCTYATGAAATAATCCTGAAACTGAACGTTTGTTAATGTGATGCAGACTGATGTGTTGTCACTTTAAAGTGGTAATAATGTTGTTTAATTTAAGATATAAACAGACTGCAGATTTTGTCATTCAACACTTTATTGACACTAAAACTGCTCGTAGTTTCCACAGGTCAGGTGACTGCACACACAGGTGTTAGATCAGAATTAACCGTCCATCAAAGTGCCACTTCAGCTGGACCGCATCGGTCCGGTTTAAAAAGAATCATTCAAACATTTACAAATACATTCAAACTCAAGCAGGTTTGTTGTTGGACAGCAGAGAGTTCTGCAGAGCAAAGACTGACGAGAAGAAACTGGATTCACACAGGAAGAAGAACCAGTCTGAACACACCAAACCACTTTCAGCAGTCAGAGTTCAGATCGGCTGGGAGGACAGAACCAGTGAGGAAGATGAAGAGGAGCAGGATACTGGATTCTTCTGTACCAAGAGCACAAAAATGGTCTCTGAGAAACACCTTTCAAACTCAAAAACAGTCCTGATGACATCATCACTGGGTCTGTTTCTGATTGGCTCGTGACACATCAGGAGACGTCACTTGGGTTTCCTCAGAGCTCACTGTTGCATTGTGGGTAGTGAAGTCCATCACCAGGTCAGTTTGTCATTGAAGACGTTGGTCTCCATGGTAACCAAACAGAAAACAAACGATCAACAGTGATGTCATCAGTGATGTCATCAATGACATCACATCACTTCAAAACAACACAAACGGGTCCTTTAACGTCTCACAGACTGTTAGAAAGATTAAATATAAACACGACATGATGCTGAGGAGGAGGTTTGTTTAAAAAAATAAATAAAATAAAAATATCAGATTAAATTCAAGAAGATTGTTACAAAAACAGTAAAGTATGTAAAAAGTAATGAATTGTTAGTAAATATATTTGTTTGTATCATCAGTAATAGATAATTATTTTGTTTTTACAAGAACTCGTTTTATATTTACAATTTGTTTTAACTTCATACTTTTATATGACTTTTTTGTTTTAATAAATCAGTTTAATTTTAAATTTCACTGTGATGCAAAAGAGTTCTGAAAGCAACAGATGTCACTTCCAGTTGAAAACAAAGAATTTAAATCTAAATTTAGTCTTTTAAAACCGAGGAGAAAATAATAAACACTGAAAAATAATTTCTGACAAAAACAATCAAAATAAAAACAGTGTGGTCCTCCATCACTTCACCTGAAAGACAAAACCCAGGGAAAAAACTGCTCTTTAGAGTTTTACTCCTCCTTTAGCTCCTCCCCCTCCCCTGGCCCCTCCTCCTTCTGGCTCCTCCCTCCTCAGAGCAACAGGAGGAGGAGGAGGAAGGAGCAGCTGATGAAGAGTCTCGTCGAGCGTTTCTTCGCAGCGCAGGAGAGTGGAGTGATGTCACAGATGTTCCAGAAGCTGATTGGCTGGTGGGCGGGGTGGGGGCGTGCCGCTGTCAGCTCTGAGACCACGCCATTCTCCTTCAGACTACTGTGGGCGGAGTCTGGAGTCAGCCTGAGCCAATCAGGAGACTTAGCCTTTCCATCCGTCCCAGATCGGAMCTCTGGACACAAACAGAACCAGAACCTTCAGTTTGAAGCAGGACAGGAAGTGTTTGTGTGTCAGAGTTGAGTCGATGCAGGTGCAGAAACACAAAACAGAATATGTTTTTACAGGTGGGTCAAAACAAACCAAAGGAAGTCTGAGTAACTCAGACACAAACTCAAATTTAAACACAATTAAACTAAAATAATAAACTTCCATTTTACTGATGTTAGTTTTCTTCTTCTGCAGTTTTTAAAAGACACCAACTGGAGACTGAGCACCACCTGCTGGTCGCTTTAATGTTTAACAAACTGGTACAAACTGGAGTAATACTAAAGTTTTGTTTTTACAAAAATATGTTTTTATTTGCAAACATCTGGAGGTAACAGAGCAGCAYGAGTCCTAAACCTGTCTCAGGTGAKACTCTCAGGTGAGTCGCTCAGGTGAGACTCCCAGGTGAGACTCTCAGGTGAGACTCTCAGGTGAGACTCCCAAGTGAGACCCACAGGTGAGACCCTCAGGTGAGACTCCCAGGTGAGACCCTCAGGTGAAACTCTAAGATGAGACTCTCAGGTGAGACGCTCAGGTGAGACACTCAGGTGAGACACTCAGGTGAGACTCCCAGGTGAGACCCTCAGGTGAGACTCCCAGGTGAGACCCTCAGGTGAGACTCTCAGGTGTGTCAGAGGGACGAAGCGTTCGGCAGGAAGCAGCGAGCAGAGGAAAACATGGAGGAAGACTCACAGAGACGACGAAGGTTTCTTGACTCTCGGCCACTTCCTCCTCTCAAACAGCCTGATGCAACAAACACACACCAGGTTACACACAGGTACACACAGGTACACACAGACACACAACCTGTCTGCAGCAGCCAGCAGCCAGCAGTACCGTCAGGTTATCATGCAGCGTTCAGAGCAGGAAGACACTCAGTGTGTTCAGGTGAGTGTTCAGGTGTGTGTGTTCACGTGTGTGTGTGTCAAAGTGAGTGTGTTCAGGTGTGTATTCAGATCAGTGTGTTCAGGTGAGAGTGTTCAGGTGTGTATTCAGGTGAGTGTGTTCAGGTGAGAGTGTTCAGGTGTGTATTCAGGTGAGTGTGTTCAGGTGAGAGTGTTCAGGTGTGTATTCAGGTG